AGAAATCATTTGGCTTTGAAGCAAAAAACATATCAATATCCTGTTTAACACCTTCCACATTTGCATACGTTTTCCCATTAAGATGGTGTTGCAGGAAACGAAAAAAAGATGGTAATATGACTGTGCCATATCTGGAGAATATGGTGGGTGGGGGAGAACTTTCCAACCCAACTCCATAATCGTGTGTTGCGTCAAACGTGCCACATGTGGACGTGACTTGTCGTGGAGAAGAAGAACACCTTTCAGATTGAAGAGTGAAGGGAATTTCTGATGAAGGGCTTGATTTAAACATTCCCGTTGATGACTATAGATCTCTGCATTGATAATTTGCTGTAGATTGAGGAGTTTTAAATGAATTACTCCTTTGATGTCCCATCAAATGCAAAGCATCACTTTCTGGCAGATTGAGTCCAGGTTATGGGGTCGGAAGTGGTTTTTGTCTATGACTGATCCATTTTTTTGGCATTTAATATTCACATAGAGAATCCATTTTTCATCACCGGTGACATTTCTGTCCAAAAATGGTTCATGCACATTACGTGCCAGAAGAGATGAAGTAATGTTCACACATTCAAAATGATGATCATCGGAGAGTTTGTGGGGCACACAAACACCTTCTTTATGTTTTCCCATATTTCTTGGATGTTTACATATTGTTTCATGAGAGACATGCAATTTCAGGGCCATTTCACAAGTGTGTTGCTTTGGGTTAGACTCAACAGGCATCTTCAGAGCATCAATATCAATTCCAACATGTTGGCCCCTGCCATTACAATTTTTAAGGCTAAAGTCATGTGAATGAAATTTGCTGAACCATCATTGACACTTGCGAATGTTCAAAACATTTCCATAAACTTCTTTGCTATTCTTTAAGGCTACAGAGGCATCGTTTCCCTTCTTGTATTCAAACAGTATTACATGCTGAAAGTGTGTGTTGTCGTGTGCCATCAATATAAGGGATCAGATTATAATAAACTTTACACATTATATAGGCTACACTAATGTGATGTTTAGGTGGTTAGTTTAACTATTATACATGATGTATGTTTTTTATGGGGTGTTAATGAAAGTGTTCCAAAATGCGATATTCATTTCTTGACAACGTAATAGAATTGCACTCATTTGGTTCTATGTTAGTTCAAATTACTTTCCTAGTCTTATGTGAAGCAGAATATTGAACATTAAAAACATGTATATATGTTGAAAGTGTTTATTTTTTGTACTTATGATTTTAATTACACCATTTTTTAAGGTTTACAAATTGTAGTAAACCAATCTTGTGTTAGGTTTGTATGTTGTCTATGTGATTATTCTCTTGCTTCAAGATGAAAATATTCACCCTTGACTACTTGTATCAGCATTGAGAGTAAACATGAAGTTACTATTCTTGGTGGTCTGCATGAATTTTGTGTCAAGTTTAATGGGCCTAAAGGGAGTAAGTTATATGATTTTTTTCTTTATGGTATTAAGACAAATTTGGGGTTATCTAAAAACATCAATAAAATCTTTTTTTATATCAAAGCTGTAATACTTTATTAACTTTTAGTGCTGAAAAATGTAGTTCTCATAGAATAATCACTTTCAAATGGAAAATCTATTAAATTATTTCTGAAGTTTTTAAAATATTAGAATTACATATATCCTTATGTGTAGTGAAATTTCTATTCACCTTTTTATAAATATACCATAAACATTACCTTTTGTTCAGGATGCAGTTTATATTGTTTGAAATTCAATTTGTTACAAAAGATTTGATAGAATCATTAGATAATATTAAGATATTGTTTATTAATTTTCTTTTAATGAAACTAAACTTTTATGTTAATACATGCTTTTAGATAATTAAATACCTCATAATGTTTTCTTTTATAAATCTAAAGTAAGTGCACAAAAAGTGTAAACTTTCAAATTAAACACAGGAGGAAAAGAGTTACAATAATTGCTTAACTATATTTCCATAAGTATGGTATGATGTATGAACTTTGAGTAACAGACATTTTCTGATTAGTGGAATATATAAATCTGTGATATTTACTTACACTTATATTCAACAGGTAGCCAAAATTATCCATAAAAGGCAGGTTCGTGACTTAAGCAAACACAAATGAACAAATCCTTAGTCATACTATGTTACTCACCTCTCCATGAAACAATTAGCTAGCACCTCAGTGCAACTGCCAAAAAGTTTTTGTGCATGTGCCAAATCATTGAAAGAGCTCTCACACCTACATGTAATAACTTGTACTGTGCTAGTCTATATTGTAAGAAAAATTAGACTATACCCCTCCACCAATATTAAGGTGATACAACCTCTTTGCTCAGTACTCTCTTTGAGCATTTTGTGTAAGCCAAAAGCTCATTTTTTTTCCACAGCACTGTTTAGACACGTTATCTTTCATAGGATTTTTGTCAAACAAAGGATCTTTTATGCTTCAGGTAACTGTTAATTTGAAAATATATGCAAGACAATAACTCATCTCAACATAGATTAGCTATCTTTCTTGTGCATCTGCCTAATAGTCCACTTGCCTTGAAACAACTCTCACCTAATTTCACATGTTTTAACATCAACTGCATTGGTGCATGGTTGTCATCATGTGAAAAAGCTCTCCACCAATAGGAGAGTGACACAACATCCATGCACATTAGCTTCCCCTATGCACTTATACTTATGATTACTTCATTATTCTACTTGACATTGTACTGAACAGATACATTTACATTTCTCATCTGATTTCAACGTGTGGAAATTTACATTGTTGACAAAACTTTGATTTTTATTTTTTCATGGCTTTTGTTTCAAAAGCTTTACATTTTTTTCAGAAATTCCCAAATGATGGTGACCTACTTAATCCTGTGAGTGATCTTGTCATGTATAGGCCATATTTCTAGTATGGTGTCTGGAGGCTCTTTAACTGTAGGGGATGTTGCAGCCATTGTTCATTGTCTTGTTGTTTACCACATACCTACTGGACCTTCTGTTCCTGTCATGTCTATCAAAATTAATTTTCCTCGTTTGGGAATGATCTCTTGATATACCACTTTAACCTGATTTGCTTTGGATGGTGCCTTACCATTTGAGACACAAACTTAACCTTCCAGTCTCATTCTGGATTTTCTTTCCTTATCTTTTGCCTGTATTCTTTTTTTATATTTATTCCATGATCCACAATTCTTGGGGCTTACCTTTTCTTTCCTACTTGCTTGTCATTATGATTTATGCTACCTTATTTCTTTAAAGCTCCTCTGTCACACCTGAATGCCTAGTCCCCTTTGAGTTTGTGACTCCTTTTCTCCTTACTTGTAGACTTTCTTCTATTTCTTTTCTCATTTGAGGATAAACCCCTTACCTTCTGCTTAGCTCTATGTTCCCCATTTTCAAATTTTTGTCTTTTTGCTCATTGCCCTTCCATATTCCCTCTCCTCTCTCTGTCCTTTTATTTGAGGAACTTCATCATGCTTCAGAGGAATTTTCTATAAGTATTCATATTCTTATCTTTGCCAGTTTAGCCCGTTCAATTCCTTCTGCTCTATCCCTCCTTACTTTGTTCCCCTGCTGTTGAGACCTTTTGGGTCAGGTTATGTTCCTTTTTTCTGTACTTTATCTTCTTTGTGTACATGGAATACAATGAATTCCTCTTCTTCACACAAATGTCTTCTAGGGTGTTCATTTCCCTCAGATGACCTGGACTGATATTATATGGATTTATTCCTCATCCTATTACCAGGTTTTGTTCTTTTTTGACTTTGCCCTTCATTCTTGTTCCTTGTCTCAATCAGTCTTTACCCTAACCTTCCCATTCCAGGTTCCAGACCTTCCTCTTTTTCTCACCGATCCTCAACTGGAAGTCTACTTTGTCCCTCTTCTTGTCAGTGATTACCAGACATGTATGATCCTGTAAGTTCCCCTTCTCCTACTGTTGGTCTCCTTTTCTACTGACAGTCAATTTTCATTTCTTCACCTTGGACTCTTTGCTTCTTTTCTCATTTCCTTTTCTCCTCCCTTATTTCCCATCAATGGTCTTTTGCACTTGGTCTGCAGTTGACCATGGTCAATGTATTGGACATCTTCCTATACATCACTCTTGACCTGTTGTCCATACGTATTCTACGTTGTTGTTTTTTTCCATCATTCCTTTCTCTTCCCTTTCATTAAATGTTGTGAGGAGCTTCACTCACCATATTCATGGCCCAAGGCTTGTGATCCTTTTCTTGGGCTTTTGACTTCAGTTGGCCCATTTTCAGATAGTTTTCTCTTCTCACACCTCCAATCTTTTACAGGAGGCTACTCATTTTTTTACTTTTTTTGGGGGGGGGGGTCTTCTAAGAATATTTGGAACTTCTTGGCATTCTTTTTAGGCATTTTCTTCATCTTTTGTCTCAGGTTTTGTGCTGTTCATTCTCTTTCTGTATGAGAGGATCTTTCACTTTTGTGAACTCTGGCTTCCCAAGAATCCTTCTTTTCTTTGGGACATGTATACATGTGCTTCCTAGAGTGGACCTTGTGTATCCAAGGATTTTTCTTTAGTTCTGTTGTTCTTTTTGTGAACTTCTACTCTCCTTGAGAAATTGTCATGGTGAGTGGACTGTGCCCATACTGCTTCTCACACCAGATCTCTCTCTTCACAGATGCTTCCCTCTCTGATTGAAGCACATCTCTGGATAAGAGCAGAACTTTTGGCATTTGGATGTGGGACAAGCATTCACTTCACATCAATGTGCTTGACCCTTTTACTGTTTGTCAGGCATGTTCCCATTCTTGCCTCTACTGATGGATCACTTGGTCATGTTTCATTCAGTCAATTTTACAGTCCTTTCTTGCATCAATTGTCTAAGAGGCACAAATTCCAAAACACTTTGTTTTTGGGCATTCGGCATACACTTATGGCCCCATTCACATTGGGTTTGTCTTATTGCTTGGAATTGGTGGTGGGCTGTCTCTCTTGGCCAGTCTACATTCTACCAACAGTATGGTCTCTACACCTCCCACGTTTTTCATTGAGTTTGCTCTTGGTTGGGCATGTTCCTCGTAGATATCTTTGACACCTTTCTGTACTCTTGGTTTAGTCTCTTCTGATCCATGTTACCCATTTTTTGGCTCTGGCCGGTAAATTCTCAGGTAGGCCTGGTCTCAACTCATTCTGTTTGCCTATTTCCTTATTTGTCTCCTCCCTCTGATATATTGTCTCCACCTTGATATATGCATTCCGTGTTGGATTTTATGGTTAGTGTCTCTTTGGGTAGCCCAGCCTTGGTTTCCTCTGTTTCTTTGCTCACTATTCACCCCCTCCTTCTCTACCCAATTTAACCTCTCTCTTGCATCATCCTCATATGTCCCTTTTTTATTGTAGGATGTCTTTCCTCCTTCATGTATGGGATTTGTCTAATCTGTTGCCCATTGGGTTGGACTCTTTAATCATGTGACATTCTTCTTGTCACATTTTTGTCGTTCTTCCACTGTGTTTGTTTATATAAGAATGTGGCAAGTCTTTCATCATTGGTCCAACTTCTATTATTTTACTCCTGGCCATCCTACAGCGCATCACCTTTCTGCCTTTTTACCTGGCTGTTTGTCATTGGTTTTTCAGTCTCTGCCTTTGCTGGTTTTAAGGTAGCCTTGTTCATGGCATTTTGACTTTTCTGGTAACACAAAGTGTTTCTTCCCTTGTACTCCCCCTCTCTTTTATACTCTGTCATTCTTATCTGACCTTCTCACCCGACTAAAACCTTAGTGGGGATTTGCATGCTCTCATGCATGCCCCATAGCTAGGGTGGTGAGAACGAACCCTCCACTTCCACCAGAGTTCCGCTTGCCTTTAGTTTTATTTTTTCCCCTTCTTTGATGATGGCCTTTCATTATATAATTGCTTTTGTAACACTTTGAATACATGTGTAAGTAGCATTTTTATACTTATAAGAGGAAATTTACTAGAAATGTTTGTTTGCTGTGATAATAAAGGAAGCATTGCATATTTCAGAATTTGTTTTTTGTCCGTGGACACTAAAGCTACACATGAAATTAGTTTGACTTTGGACCATAAAGGCCCCCTCCCCACTTACAGTTCCCATGACCAGATAGTTAATTAAGAATGTCTATTTTTACTCATCCAACATCTTTTCATTGACACACTTCCATCTTTTCCTTGGCCATTCTACTTTTCTTTCTCTGGTTCTTATGGACTTCTTCAGAGACTTTCAAATTTTTTGTTTCCTGTGTCTAGTTCACCTGTTCCCTCTATCATTTTTCTTTAAAGACATATTTTCCTTTCCTTCTAGCTGGTGTGAGACATTGCTCTGATAATTTTGTCTTAGGCAACTCTGGCATTTTTTTTTTAACAGAGACTGGTGAATTTATATTCCAGACTGCTGCTTCCTTTTCTAGGCTTGGGTTGCTCAGGAGGATGATCAAATTTTTTCTTCAATCACCCACCCTAT